AACACCCAGGTACCTATAAGAGTCCACTATCTCAATGTCCACTCCCTGGATGTGTCAGTGTGGTGGGTCTGCATCTCTGGAAGTCCACCACCAACTCCTTGGTTTTCCCGGCTATTTTCCTTGGTTTAAATGCATCTCTGTAGCAGAGCAGTGTCTCAAAGGACACACAGGCTCAGCTGTAACTGCCGGTTTATCTGGTTTTAAGACACATTTGGACACAATTGGCTGTTTTTAACAATTTATTTTAATCACAGGTGGAAATTTAGACGTCACACATCTGGATCCTAAATAATGATAGAAACAGCTGCTAGCAGTGGGTCGTTTGACTTTAGCCTGGTGGCTAAGCTAACAGAAACAAGCGTGCCAGCTGTGCTCTGTGAGGATGATACGCTGCTCTAGAAAGCAAACAAAGGTTTGTGCAGCTCCTCTTCAGAAAAGTGTTCAGAGAGCAGCTGCTTTATTAGACAAAGGCTCGTCATGTGAGCCCAGATATGTGTAACAGCTGGATGAAGGAGAACCATCACAGTCACGACTCCATCCCGCCTTTATTAATGAACTTCCTGTTGCTTACAGACGACAGGAACACAAAGTGTTTGTGCCATGTAATGCTGCAGGATTTGTTAACATATCCATGATGGTAACATCTCCTCGTCTAACTGCAAACACATGAACTCTCCTAACGGCAGCTATCACAGCCTGTTTCTCATTGTTGCATTCAGGGACATAAAAAGCTGAACTCTAATCTAAGAGGACTGTTACTGACAGGAAACAGCTGCATTATCTGCAGTCTGTGTGATCACAGCTGCTTCAATCACTTTATCAGAGAATTTATCATTGAATAAAACATGTTTGTGTCTGCAGAGGTCAGAGGTCACAGTCTGCAGGATCCAGCTGTCCGTCTGTGAGGAGTGACTGGTCCAAAGATAACCCTCCACTCTTCAGTGATGAACCTGGACCAACGAGGTCAGAGAACTGTTATGAGCTCCTTTATGTATTTGTATTTTCTTGGATAAATATAACCAAAGATTCATTAAAAAGATAAAAATTGTCCTGCAGCACTGTGTGGCAGGCAGGACTGGACCCCCAAAAAACAGGATAAAGTCACAGAGGCAGCTTTATTTCAGCTGTGAACAAACTATAAACTTATTCCATTATTCTTAATGTGTCAATCTGTAAATATACCTTCCAATTAGGGGTGGGCGGTATAAACCGTATACGGTAGAAACAATATAAATTTGTAGAAACGGTAGAGATTTTGACTATACTGCTCTACCGCGATAGCGCATGTTGATGGTGTCATCAATTTATGGGCCTCATTACAATCAGTATTAGTTATTTTGATGACAGACAAGGGGGACAGAAAAATATGTCCATGAGAACTCAACAGGTGATAAGATGTACCACAATGTAAGGAGTGCTCTGACACGTTGATAAATGCTTTTTTACTTTCTCGCAGTCGATTAGATGAGATGATAAGGCAGTATGAAAAAATGTTCTGAAGGCTTGAATCCGACTGTATTAACATGCAGTATAAGTGAGTGTAGGAGAGAATCAGGCAGATGTAAACAGCTAACAAAGCTAGCTGAGTTTAATTTAGTCTAACTGCACATCAAGTAACATGAACACACCCATAGGACTTTTTTATTGGTCATAAGTTGTCCATAAAAGTTTCCACAGTTCATGATTGTCCATCAATATATAATATTTCCCAGAGCTCTAACCTCCCCAGCTCATTAGTGTTGATGAAATCAAAGGAACTGCGAGGAACGGCAGTTTGGTCAAATCTGGATATTTTTCACTGACAGTAAATGATTTGATAAAGAAATTTGTTCACAGAGAGAGGAAGAGGAGCTGTGCTTTGTGTCATGACGTCCTGAAGGATCCAGTCTCTACCAGCTGTGGACTCTGGTTCTGCAGACAGTGCATCTCCTCATACTGGGACCAGTCTGCTTCATCAGGAGACTTGTCCTGTCCCCAGTGTGGAGAAAGATCCAGAACCAGAGCTGGACTGCAGACAGTCAGTCAGAGCAGCTGTGTACAAAGTAAGACTGAACATCTGTCTGCTGATGGACTCATTTCTGAAAACTGGACTTCTTGTGTTGTTCAGACATTGAAGAGTTTTCTTTCTGTTTTTCTTTCTTTCAGCAGATGTTGGTCTGCAGGAGGTTTTAGATGAACATAAGATCAGTCTGAGGAGGAGATGTGAATGTGTGACTGAAGGAAGTGATGAAACAGGAAGTAGAACCCTCCTCAACACCATCTACACTGAGCTCTACATCACAGAGGGACAGAGTGAAGAGGTTCATATCCAACATGAGGTGAGGCAGCTGGAGACAGCTTCCAAGATGGACGCCCTCCATGACACTCCAATCGGGTGCCAGGACATCTTTAAAGCCTTACCTGACCAACAGAGACCCATCAGAGTGGTTCTGACCAACGGCGTGGCTGGTGTTGGAAAAACCTTCTCAGTGCAGAAGTTCACTCTGGACTGGGCAGAGGGCTTGGAGAACCAACATGTCAGTGTGGTGGTTCTGCTTTCATTCAGGGAGCTGAACCTGATCAGAGATGAGCAGTACAGTCTTCTGGAGCTGCTCCATGTTTTCCATCCAACATTACAGAAGGTCACAGCAGAGAAGCTCGCTGTCTCTCAGCTTTTGTTCATCTTTGACGGCCTGGATGAAAGCAGACTTTCATTGGATTTCACCCACAGGAAGCTGCTGTCTGATGTCACACAGAAGTCATCAGTCAGCCAGCTGCTGACAAACCTCATCCAGGGGAATCTGCTTCCCTCGGCTCTCGTCTGGATTACTTCCCGACCTGCAGCAGCCAATCAGATCCCTCCTACATGTGTTGACAGGCTAACAGAAGTACGAGGCTTCACTGACGCCCAGAAGGAGGAGTACTTCAGGAGGAGATTCAGTGATGAAGAGCTGTCCAGCAGAATCATCTCCCACATGAAGACATCCAATAGCCTCCACATCATGTGTAGAATCCCAGTCTTCTGCTGGATCACTGCTACAGTTCTGGAGCACATGTTGACTACAGAGCAGAGAGGAGAGCTGCCCAAGACCCTGACTGACATGTACTCACACTTCCTGCTGGTTCAGATAAAGAGGAAGAAGAACAAGTACCATGAGGGACATGAGACGAGTCCACAGGAGCTGACGGAGGCTGACTGGGAAGTTCTTCTGAAGCTGGGGAGGCTGGCGTTTGAACATCTGGAGAAAGGAAACATCATGTTCTACCAAGAAGACCTGGAGCAGTGTGGTCTGGATGTGACAGAGGCCTCAGTGTACTCAGGAGTTTGTACAGAGATCTTCAAAAGAGAGTGTGTGATCTTCCAGAAACCTGTCTACTGCTTTGTTCATCTGAGCATTCAGGAGTTTCTGGCTGCAGTTTACATGTTCCACTGTTTCACCAGCAGGAAGAGAAAGATGCTGGAGGACTTCTTGAAGATCGAATGTAATGAGTCATCTCTGGATGGTTTCCTGAACAGAGCCATGGAGAAATCCCTCCTAAGTAAAAATGGCCACCTGGACCTGTTTGTTCGCTTCCTTCATGGCCTCTGTCTGGAGTCCAACCAGAGACTCTTAGTAGGTCTGCTGGGTCAGACAGAGATCAGTCCAGAAACCATCCAGAGAGTCATCAACAACCTGAAGAAGATGGACTATGATAAAATCTGTCCTGACAGAAGCATCAACATCTTCCACTGTCTGATGGAGATGAACGACCTCTCAGTATATCGGGAGATCCAAGAGTTCCTGAAGTCAGAGAACAGATCAAAGACAGAACTCTCTGAGATCCAGTGCTCAGCTCTGGCCTTCATGCTGCAGATGTCAGAGGAGGTTCTGGATGAGTTGGACATCCTGAACTACAAAACATCAAAGCAAGGACGACTGAGACTGATTCCAGCTGTGAGGAACTGCAGAAAGGCTGGGTGAGTCCAGATGTGATCATTAACATCATTAGTTAGTGTAGATTAGTAGTTTAGTTCTTCAGATATACACAGTACTAAACGACTGTCATTATTTTGAATTTCTCAGATAAAATGATATTTTGTGTTGATCAGGAAATGTTTGCATGATCCTACATTGGTAGTTGTACGCTGTGTGTTGTAGACTCACATCTACATGTAGTACCTGTGTTGTGTCATCAGGGGCATTGTCCCAGGTTCTTTTATTCTTCAGACTGGACAGAGAAGACGCAGACTCAGAGTGGTCAGAGTATTTAGAATAATTTTATTCATTACCTTCCGGAAGGGAGATGTGGATGGTGCTAAGCATCTGCTGATCTGAAGCATTTTAATTCTACATGTCTGCCAAATAGCTGCAAAAACATCTGCACCCTAGCTCCCTTATGTCTAGTTTTTACGACCCAAAGGTCATTTCCTGTTGTTCTCTGTTTAGCAGCACAAACATAGGTGATGCTCACTGCAACTCTGCACAAAGCTTTCTGTTCTGCACAGTTTTCAGTCTTGCTAAACCATATAATGACCTATGACACAGTTTATAACTCAAAGATGGCCTTTAATATTCTAGCCTGTTATTAAATGCATAAAACAAAATATACGGCAAATAAGCACTAGAAAATGCATTTTCCTAACAGGGGCAGTGTTTGATGGTCATGTTGTTGGTCATTCAGATGCTGCTGTTAGAGAGAAGACAGAATAAGAATCTATGAAAAGCTTATTTGTAGTGAAGTGAATTCCAATGTTACAAACAGTGACAAATATCCAGAGCCATCACCATCTGAGCTTCTCCTCTGACTACAGACAGAACTACAGACACAGAGTTTAGTGGCATAAAAGGGTGCTGATGAAGACTCTGGTTTAGTGTGATTAAAGTGTAATGTGAAGTGTGAACAGACAGGTAACAACATTTTGACTTGCTGTCACTTGGATCTGGAGTCATAAACACTGAAGCTCTGAACAGGAATACAAATCTTTTTCTGCCAACTAGTACTACTACTACACCAGCAGACTAATGGCTCAGAAAGCTAAAATGAGCCAATCCTTTCTTTGTTTAGTTCCCCTGAAATCAGATCTGATATCAGCAGCTCTGAGTTCATTCATCATTATTGTCCAGTGATGAGATTTCTGCTCCGTTTGGTAACAGTCAGCAGGTTTTTCCTGCGTGTGGACGTGAACAGTCGTACCTGACAGCAGGTAGCAAACAGAGATCATCTTTCCAGCTGGAACTCTTCACTGAGCTGAACTCATTCAAATGTTCTGGAGTCAGATTCAAAACAGGAAACAGTCCAAATGTGTGTCTTCACTCTGACTCTGGATCAGATCTCACTGACAGACTGTGGACATTGTGTCACATTTAGGCTTCCATAATCTTCCTCCTTCATCTGCAGATTAAAGCCAAACAAAGATTCTCATCTGCAGGTCTGAGAGAGACTGAATCATTGTGTCATGTCAAACACAGTAAGAGGAGCTGAAGCACAGATGTGAAGAGCAGATTCATCAGATTATAACGTCACTCTTTTTTTTTCTTCATATACATTCAATCTGTGTTTATAATGCAGATTTTCTGCTTTTTCTTGCTTTTTAACAAATTTTATATTTTCTATAATCACAGAATGACTCATTGTGGACTCTCAGAGACTCACTGTGAAGTTCTGGCCTCAGCTCTGAAGTCCAACCCCTGCCATCTGACAGAGCTGGACATGAGCTGGAACAACCTGCAGGAGTCATCAGTGAAGCTTCTGTGTGCTGGACTGAAGAGTCCAAACTGTCGACTGGAGACTCTGAGGTGGGTTCACTGACTGCAGCTGTTGTTGTTTTTGTATATTTCAGATCTTTGATTGATGTTTGAAATTTTCTTGGGTTCATAATTGTTCAGGATGTGTCTGAAGACAAATGTGAAGAAGTTTGAGTGCTTTCAGAACCACACAGCTGCTGTTGTGAGGTGTGTGTTAAAGCAGAGGAACACAGAGCAGCCTAACACAGGCCCAAACATGACAGCAAAGCAGGATTCAGGCTCTGTGAGAGAATTTCAAACAGAAGCTGGAGAAGAGAAAGGACTCTGTTGGACTATAGAAAGAAGGCAGCTGAGACCAGTCCAAGTGTTTCCATGGAGCCCAATCTAACATTCATTTATACACTAACGTACAGAAGTGAACGGGAAAATGAATCCATAGTTTCAAATGTAGAAATAGTTCTCAGTTCATTTACAGAGTTTAATACAGTTCGTGGGGAAATGAGAAATGTTCAGAACAGCAGCTGAAAAGAAATCTGCTTCACAAAGTTGGATCCAATTCCAATAGTTTGTGATGCACTTGAATGTAGCATGAGCAGTTCACTGTCAGTCTGGACTTTTCTTTATTTCTACTGGCTGTCAGTGAGATTTCAGAGCAATCAGTGACTGTGGGTCTGTGTATGAAGTATAATTCATGTGTAGTTGTTGAAGTTTTAGAAAGGCAGTTTTGCGGTATTTCCTGGTTTCATTGTCCTGCTTGTGCAGATGAAAATGTTTATTGACGTGTGAATTCATTCTTCAACACTCGATTCTGCCTGAACAACGTGAAAACTTTTCTTATTTTTGTGTAACACAATTCAATGCACTGAAGCATCGACTTGTCTTATTATCCAACAATAAAAAAACAGGAATCAGACACAGCTGGCCTTCAAACTAAAAGCTTCTCCTTCCTAAATGTTTTGTTGGTAAAATGTAAGAAGAGCTGAACCGCATGAATGATCTTCGTGCCTAAATATTAAACACAGTTGATATATTTGTGTGAGTGTTGCACAGCTGATGGCCGATGGCTGCACCTATTGGAGTGTTGTGAGTCAGGTGTAGATGTAATGACTCATTCATCACATTTATTCATTTTTCTCTCACTTTGGCTCAATGTTATTAAAAACATAAGAACTGTTTTCACTTTGTAAAAAATCTCAGTCTCTTTCTGCCCACGTATGATGCCTGTTGCATTATGGGTAACAGGGATTCCAGGCCAGCCAATCAGAGTATGAATCTGGGACATGATTGTTAGGATGCCTGGGTCGTTGACCCAGGGTTTTGAGTTTATATATTATTTATCATTTCTATTCTTTGGTTTCTTTGTTAGAGTTCTGTCTTATGGTTTGTCTCTGTGTTATCCTTAGTTGCTGTCTCCCCTGTCTGCTATATCCCCGTGTCCAGTCAGTGTCTGTGTCTGCCCTGGTCCCACGTCTCTATTCACACTGTTGCAGTTCATGCATGTGAGTCTGTGTCTTTAGTTCAGTTTGTGTCAAGTTTTATTTTGAAGGTCCTTGTCTGATGTTAATGTATCTGGTTTCACTTCCCCTTGTCTCGTTAGGCCTGATTTGCCCCAGCTTTGTTTCCCTCCTGTTACCCATTCCCTGATTGCTCCCTCTGTGTATTTAAGCCCTGTGTTTCTCTATGTCTGTGTCGTGATCTACCCTTATGCCATGTGTTCTGTCAGTCTTCCTGTGTAAGTTTATTTATTTATATCCAGTTATGTTACATTTGAGTTTAGCATTAAAGCTGTTTTAAGTTCACGTTCCGCCTCAGAGTGTCTGCACATTGGGTCCTCCTACTACCACTCCTGCCTGCACACAGCCGTCACATAACAATGATGGCTGACATGACTGCAGACTGGAGCCTGAACCAGGATCATCCACGTAATCCCATCATTTTAATGTCATTATGTTCTGGATCAGATGTGGAAACATCACTGCCTATTTTATTGTTCACACTAAATCCATGATGGCTCCATGTGGCCACGGCTGGATGTTCAGCTTACAGAGCTCCGGGCACAAATGTGTGATGGACCCTCACCAGCTGGATTTGAGAGCTCGGCTTCTTTTCCTTCTTCAATAATTAGACATACAGGGCACACCGTGTGTGTACAGAACAGCTGAAATCATTATGGATGCCTCACTGGAATATGGAAGCATCACAGTACAGCTTCACTGAAGCCTTAAAGTCTCTGATATGAAATGAGAAATGAAGCAGCCAGAGCTTTTTCATGAGTGGAAATCCACTGTGACTGTGAGCTGCTGCT